GGCCTCTCAATCTTGGGCTTCCCAGGCTTCAGAACTGTGAGCCAATTAATTTCTGCTCATTGTAAATTACCCAGTCTGTGGTACTCTGTGTAGAAGCACAAAAATGAACTAAGACAGAAAATTGGTACTGGAGAAGTGGGGTTCTGCTATAACAAATAACTAAAAATCTGAAAGACACCTTGGAAATGGGTAATGGGTAGAGGCTGGAACAGTTTTGAAGTAAATGCTACAGAAAGGCTGTATTGCCGTGAACAGAGCATTAAGGGTGATTTTGATGAGGGTTCAGAAGAAAAAAGTACTGAAGAAAGTCTGAAACTTCTTAGAGATTACTTAAGTGGTTGTAATCAGAATGTTGGTGGACATTTGGACAGCAAAGACAATACTGATGAGGTCTCAGATGAAAATGAGGAACATGGTATTGGAAACTGAAGTAAAGGCTATCTTTGCTATAAACTGGCAAAGAACTTGGCTGAACTGTGTCAGTGTCCTAGGGTTTCATAGAAGGCAAAATTTAAGAGTTATGAACTAAGACATCTGGCAGAAGAAAATTTCGAAGCAAAATATTGAAAGAGCTATGTGGCTTCTTTTAACAACATATAGTAAAATGGAAGAGGAGAGAAATGATTTAAAGATGAAATTTATAATTAAAAGAGAAATAAAAAGATTTGAAAAATTAGCAGCCTGGCCATATAAATAGTAGGAGGTGTGCTTAGGAGAGCAAACCAAGGGTATGGCCAAGTGATCATTTGCTAAAAAAATTATAATGTTTAGGAAGGAACCAGGTGATATTCGTCAAGAAAATGAGAAGGACTCTGAAGGCATTTCAGAGATCTGTAAGGCTGCCCCTCCCATCACAAGCCTAGGTCAAGGTTTCCATGGAGGTGCCTGGGAGATATCAGCACTCACTGCCCTGTGCTACTTTGGGACTCAACTCCCCAAACTTTGCCACAGTGTCCCTCAGCTGCTCCAGCTGTGGCTCAAGAAAGCCCACATGTGGCTCAACCTGCTACTCTGGAGGGTATAAGCATTAAGCCTTGGTGGCATCCACATAGCACTAATTCTGTAGGCATGCAGAATGCAAGAGCTGTGGAGGCATGGCTTCTTCCACCTACATTTCACAGGATGCCTTGGACAACATGGGGGCCCAGGCAGAGACTTGTCACAGGGTAGAGTGACTGCAGAGAACCCCCACTAGGGCAGTGCCTAGTGAAGCCATGTAAGTTAGGCCATCCCCAAGACCTCAGATCTATAGAGCTACGAGAGTACAACTCTACCCTGGGAGAGCTACAGGCACAAGACTCCAACCAATGAGAGCTGCACTGGGGGCTGAAACCAGCAAAGCCGTGGCTGTCTGAGGCCTTGGGGGCCAAACCCTTGTCTCTGTGTTCCCAGAAGGTGCAACATGGAGTCAAGGAAGATGATCTTAGAGCCTTAGGATTTAATGCTGTTTTCCCTGTTGGGTTGTGAACTTACTTGGGACCAGTCACCCCTTTTTCTTGCTTATTTCTCCATTTTGGAATGGGAATGTCTATGCTGTGCCTGTCCCACCATTGTGTTCACAGGCTCCTGACTGGAAGGGAATTTGCCTTAGGGTGATTCATGCCTTCAGTCTCACCCATATCTGACTAGATCACTCTGGACTTTGGACTTTTGAGTTGGTTCTGGAAAGACTTAAGACTTTGAGGCTATTAGGATGGAGTCAATATATTTTGCACATAAGGACATTAATTTGGGGAACCACAGTGGAATGCTATGGTTTGAATGTGTCCCCCAAAGTTTACCTCCAAGTTTTTGGAGGAAAATTGATCCCTAATGCAACAATATTAAGAGGTGGAACCTTAAAGAGGTGATTAAGCCACGAGAGCTCTGCCTTCATACATGTATTAATGACATTTACACGGGACTGGGTTCATTATCAGAGAAGTAGTTTCCTCACGAAAGGATACGTTTGGCCCCCTTGCTCTCTCTCTCTTTGTCCTTCCTCTATGGGCTGGTACAGCAAGCAGACCCTTGTCAGATGGCAGACTCTCCATCTTGGACTTCCCAGCCTCCAGAACCACGAGCCAATGAATTTCTGTTCGTTGTGAGTTACCCAGTCTGTGGTATTCTGTTATAACAGCACAAAACTAAGACAAAAGGCAATAATTTTTGTGCTGAATTCCTGTTTTTCATATGTATTGTTCATTTGCAAAATTGATGAAGCTAAGTGAAAATAATAAGAGAAACAATCTGAAGTATATTGGGACTGGATCATGTTATTTTCCCCCCAACATTATTACATCATTAAAGTTAGAAAACCCAAAATCTGGATATATAATTAAATCACAACAGGTCAGGCAGGCTCCTGGGTATTTCTGGAAAATCATTTTATGTTTCATAATTTTTTCAACAGACCATTGAGTTCAACTTACTGATACTTCATTAGGGATATTTGCATGAATCTTAAATCAAATTGGTCCTGATTTTGCTTTTTAGGGGGTATCCTCATCTAATTTTATTATTTGGGTATTTGCCTTATAGAATAATCTGGCAAAATTTTGTTAGAGATTATCTATTCTTTAAAACTATTGCCTGTGGAGGGAGGGAGGGGGTTTGGGGAGGGATAGGTTGGGTAAAGGGCATAAAGAAAAATCATGATTTGTAATAATGAATATGCTAATAATAATTTTAAAAACTAAAAAAGAACAACTAAAACAAACACTATTGCCTATAAAACCATCAATTCTAGTTTTTAACAAGATCATAACTACACTTAAATTTTTTTCCTTTGTAGATCTGTTCAGGTTTTCTGTGGTATACGGAGTCAACTTTGATAATTTAGGTTTCTCTAGATAATTCATTCTCTCTATAGCTTTATACAAATTGAAATATATGTATACAGTAATAGCTTAAATTAAAAAATCTCCTTGATACATGTAGCTATTTCACATTTCCCATACATAAATCTGTAACTGTATCATCTTTTTCCTCTCAATAACTGCCAATTCTCTCTCAATGGTCTTTTCAAAGAGAAAATCCTTGGTTAGAGTCTACTATTTTATTAACTAGTCCATTAAAGTCTTTTATTATATAAATTATTTCCTGCTACTTACCTTAGTTGGTTTTTTAAAAAATTATTTTCTGGCTTAAGTTAACTGGTTTTTCCCCACATTTATCAATTTCCTGTTATGTGACAGCTTCCATAGATGTGAGAACAGAGTAGTGAACAAGACAAATACTGGTTCCTCAATCCAGGTTTTCTAGATGCATTAAGTTCTAAATTGTCTACCAAGTAGAGCTTTGGTAATTTCCCACAAATTTTTATTTATAGACAATATATTGTCATTCATCACTAAATAGTCTAAAATTTGAAATTTTATTTTCTACCTTAAAAAACTTTATTATGGAAATGTGCAAATATATGTAAAGGTAGTAAGAACAGCACAATGAACCCGGTGTATCCATTATCCAGATGTAACACTTACCAACATTTTGCCAATCTTGTTTCATCTATCCCCCCCACCTTTTGTTTTTCTTAACAATTTAAAGCAAATCACAGGCTTGACATAATTATATACTTCAGTACTTCAGTATGAGTCTCTGATACATAAAGACTTACACACATACACCTATAATGCCATCATCATGCTCAATATAATGAAAAATTGCTTAGTATCACTTAATACCAATCCATGTTCACATTTACACAATATCTAAAAATTTTTTCAATTATTTGTCCAAATCAGGATTGTACTGACTGTATTTTCCTTTTTTGTGTATTCTTCATGGTCTGGTATTTGGGGTCTTGATCCTGGAGAGACTGCTCCTTCCAGGGCTCACTAATGCACAAAGCAAACAACTCCTCTGCCAGCATGCCTTTGATATACAAACCAACCAATCCAGAGCCCATACTCCCGACTGTCTTCACTAAACACACACCAAGTCAAAATTCCCCCTGCCATAAATCACCCCAGGGTTAGGTCCTGGACAACTAGAAATCATCTCGACAGCCCAGAGCCTACCAAAACTATTCACACTATCCAATCCTAAGCTTATTGAGCATGCTTACCCTGCCTTGCCCATTCCTTCCACAAAAACCCCAATAAAAGCTCTGGGTCATGTTCTGCCCTATCCTCTTCTGCCTCCTGTTACACCTGGGTGCTTCTCCATGTGCCCTCCATGGCATTACGTCCCTCCTGTTTCTAGTATAAACTTCTTCCTTCGTGATAATCATTTCCATGTCTTACCATGCCTGATGAATACAAATCCCAACTACATTTTAACACAAAGATCCGAATATGCTCCATACACTGTATCTGATTGATATTCCTTAAATTTCCTTTAATGTGTGGAGTTCTATTTGTATCTTTTTTGACATCTATTGGTTAAGAAACTAGGCCATTAATTCTCAAATATAATTCTCAAATATAATTTTCTCAAGTATAATTTCCCAAATTGTGGTTTTGGTTGTTTGATTCTTTGTATCATTAACCTGTTCCTTTATTCTCCATGTTTCCTGTAAACTGGTAATAATTAGATTTAGAAACTAAGTTATAGTTTCTGTATCATTTGGGGGGACAAGAATGCTTCACAGATGGTGCTCTGTACATCCATCGCATCCCATCCAGAAGTACACAGACTGACCAATCTAATCTAGAGATGTTAATATAAATTAGCAGGTTCTGTTATTCTGCCCCATTCATTAAAAGCTTCTTATCAATCTTTCACCTAATGGTCTTGACATCCATTGATATTACCACCAAGGTCCATTATTTCATAAATAGAAAAATGTAAATTTTGAATTCTATCATTCCTTTGACCTTTACTGGTTGGAATTCTCTAACAATAAAGAACTTTCCTTCACAAACTTTTGGTTGTCTTGAAATATAGTTCATAAAGGAAAGGCAAGAAAAATGCTCCACTCTCTCCCTTTATTTATCAATAATGCTCTAGTATGGTCCACAGCTGATCAACGCATTTTGCCAGAAAAAAGAAGCTATCAAAGGTGATAAAGGTCATAACAAAAGCACACAGGACCCAATTTGAGGGGATTACCACTGGCCCCAGATAGGACAATTTAGCATGAAAAAAAGCTACAATGAAGTAATTTTTAAAAATTTAATGCAGCAATTATAACATGGGTGACTTTAAATTTACAAATAATTTCTTTTATGTTTCCTTTGTTAATTTTTACTTAAATATTGGCTGCAGCCAGAGAATGTAGAATGTAGAATATATTTCATGAACAAATTTAAAAAATTTTTCTCATTTCCAATATTTTAACAGAATAAGATATTTGAAGTTCAATAAGGGATAAATGTTGGTGGAAGGCATTTCTACATTCATTATTCCCATAGCCTTTCATACGAATTCTCAAAAGAATAATATTATGGATGATGATAATAGAAAATTTGGTAGCTTAAAACAACCATTTTATTATAACATGGTTTTGTGGGTCAGGAATTTGAGCAAGGGCTCAGCTGGTCGATTTTTCTATTCTATATGGTGTCAGCCAAGGTCACTAAGTGGCATTCAGCTGGTGGCTGGTCTGCAGGATCCAAAACTATTTCATTTCAAATGTCTAGCGTCTTGGTGGGCATGTCTGGAAGACTTAGGTTCAGGAGGTGCCTCTCTGTCACTATGTAGTCTCTGGGCCTCTCCATGTGGTCTCTTTAGCAAATTAGCCAGACTGTTTAGCATGACAGTTCAGGTCTTAAGAGAGTATTTCAAAGGATGAAGTAACCCTACCACTAAAACCTGGGTCCAGAAACTGGCACAGCAGTACTTCTACTATGTTCTGCTGGACAAATCAGTCACTATCTGCCCATATTCAAGGGAAGGGACATGGATTTCCCCTCCTGATAAAAAGCGTGACAAAGAATTTGCAGCTATCTTTGCCACAGTTTTATATCACCATTTAACAAATGAAGAAATTGTAGTACAGAGCAGTTGTGTCTTGTTCAACATAACACAAGTAGGAAAACGATGGAATAGGGTGAGAAATGCCTTTCATATGTTTGTTATGTTATTAGGATTAGTTTTTAAAACAAATCAGCTGAAGTCTCTGGTTTGAGTGACAGTGGAATACATTAAATTAACACATTCTTTTAAAGGCATAAAAACCTCATGCTAAGTCAGTTGTATGCATGAAGCAGAAGAGATTAATTACTATATTCATAGAATGTTCTATAACACAGGACTGAAAAGACTTTCCTATATTTTTACATTATGAATTTTTAGATGATGGGTAAGGTGTGAATGTTGTCTAAAGGCCTTCTTACATTCCTTACATTCATAGGGTTTCTCACCAGAATGAATTCTTAGATGTTGAATAAGGGATGAATTAAGTCTAAAGGCCTTCCTACATTCCTTACACTCAAAGGGTTTTTCACCAGTATGAATACTCTGATGTAGAGTAAGTTTTTGGCGCAACCTAAAGGCCTTCCCACATTCCTTACATTTATAGGGTTTCTCACCAACATGAATACTCTGATGCTGTGTAAGTTGCGAGAGTAATCTAAAGGCCTTCCCACATTCCTTACAATCATAGGGTTTAACACCAATGTGAATACTCTGATGTGAAATAAGTTGTGAGTAACGACTAAAGGCCTTCCAGCATTCCTTACATTCATAAGGTTTTTCACCAGTATGAATTCTGTAATGGAGAATAAGATGATAACCACGACTAAAGGTCTTTCCACATTCGTTACATTCATAGGGTTTCTCACCAGTATGGGTTCTCTGATGGAGTGTCAGTTGTTGTCGCACCCTAAAGGCCTTCCCACATTCCTTACATTCATAGGGTTTCTCACCAGTATGAAGTTTGTGATGTACTCTAAGCCCAGAGCCACACAAAAATGCCTTCCCGCATTCTTTACATTCATATAGTTTGTCAGCCATATTAAGCTTCTGATGTCGAGTAAGGTGTGCATACTGTCTAAAGGCCTTCCCACATTCTTTACACACATAGGGTTTCTCACCAGTATGAATCCTCTGGTGGAGAGTAAGTTGTCCTCGCACTCTAAAGGCCTTCCCGCATTCTTTACACTCATAGGGCTTCTCACCAATATGAATTTTCTGATGTACTCTAAGGTCTGGGCCACATATGAAAGCTTCTCCACATTCCTTACATTCATAAAGTTTTTCACCAGAATGAAGTCTCTGATGTCGAGTAAGATGTGCAGTCTGTCTAAAGGCCATCCCACATTCCTTACATTGGTAGGGTTTTTCACCAGTATGAATTCTGTGATGAAAAGTAAGTTGTTGGCGCACTCTAAAAGCCTTCCCACATTCCTTACATTCATAGGGTTTCTCAACAAAACGATTTCTCTGGTGTGGAGTAACAGACGTGCATTTCTGGTAAGAGGACACTTTTTCAGATGCAATTTTTACTTGACTGAAATATCCCTCTTGAGGTCCCTCTTCTTCAAATTGTCTTTTGGGTTCCCAATCATTTTTTAAAATGAGGCCCTTAAGGCCATGGTTTTTAATTCTTTCCATTATTTTCCACTGGGATAAATTTATTTCATAAATGTCATTTCCTGAAGATAACTTCTTGGTCTCATACCTAGTATCCAAATCTAAAAGAAAACAAGAAAGCAAACACATGTGCTTTTCTTTTGCTAAAAGAAGCAAAATATCTACAGTAGAAATAAAAGAAAACAAAAGAAATACTCAACCAAACTCTAAAATATTCACACAATTTGTAATAAATAAAAGAAAAGCAAAAGGGAACACCACGAAAAATGACCGTTCATATAAGAAAATGAGATTAGTGATTAAGTAAACATTTTAAGCCAGTGGTTCTCAGAATGAGATGTGGATCAGAATCACCAGGCCACCTGTTATAAATATTGAGGTTTAGATACTACCAAACCACATAGATCAGACTCTGTAGTCCTGGGCAGTCCTGGGAGAATATTTACTATTCTCCACACAATGATTCTGATAGGGATGAAAGGCTGAGAGTCCATACTTAAATTTTTTTAACAATATTTCTTTATTCTTAGAATAAAATCAAACTCACTGTGGTTAACAAGGCCTCTACTTACTATAACACATCACCTCAAACCACTGTCTCCTTCACTACTGCCTGGAGAGGACTCCTTTCAGATCTTAAAACATGTCCCAACTTACTTCCATCTCTTAGAACTTTTCACAGTCTGCTCTATCTCCCACAAATCTCCTGATTGGGTTCTTTGCATGGCTGGCTCCTCCTTATCCTGAAGTCAGATTAAAAGTCACTCCTTTAAGGCTGACTCTACTGACAGTATCTAAATCTATGTTGTTATTCTCTATTTCCTGCTTTTATAACACCTCTCAGTTTTAATTGTATATTTATTAATTTTTCTAATTATTATTCTTCCTATTCCTACCAGTAAACCTCCTCAAGGGCAGAAACATTCCTAGTTTACTCTCCATTCAGTAATAAATTCATAGCACACAATAAGTTTTACTCATATAATTCCCATATATATTTGTTCTGAATATATCTCTCTACTTTTAATCTCTCACACCTTACTGCAATGATTAAATATTCTCTTTATTCATCCAAGCTAGCCCACCTAAATAAATGAATGGAAAATGCGGTTGTATATTTAAACACATTCTTCCATTGCTTATGCCCTTATCTATGTAGTACTCTCTACACTGCCCATTTCCTCCTTCACATAGCTATGGATTACTTTTTCTTCGTCTCTACACCACAGCAAATGTACTAAGGATTTCTACTTAATCTCCCCTTAAGCTTATTCTATTACGAATCCATTTTATGAATGTTCAACTGGTTTTGTTCTTTCCTTCCTTTGCTCTGGTCTTTTCCTTTCCATTTCCTACGAAGGCAAGGCAATCCTGTATTTTCTAGAAACACATACCAATGATTTTTCAGACAAGGAAAACATGTTTATATCTTACTGAAGTTCTTATGAAATTCTCAGGAAAAAAAAAAAGATATAATACATTAATAATCAGTAATGTGGACAAAAGTTCTTGCAGTCATTTGAATGTGAAGGACTTGCTAATAAAGGTCATTTTGGATTTAGATCAGAGGACAGCAAGCCTGTAGGCAAAACAGCCAGAGGAAAATCTAAGTGGTGAATGAGTTGTGTAGGAGAGAGAAAAAGTTAAGGTCTTCAATTATTACAATATGGTATATATAAAAAAGTTGAGGGGCCGGCCCGGTGGCGCACTGGATAGTGCGCCGCTTGGGAAGCGCAGCGGCGCTCCCGCCCGCGGGTTCAGATCCCACATACAGACCGGTTCCCGCTCACTGGCTGAGCGAGGCGCGGGAGCAACACTGAGGGTTGCGCTCCGTTGCCGGACACGGAAAAAGACAAAAGACAAAAAAAAAAAAAAAAAGTTGAAATCATATAGACATTTTCTACTAAAACTACAAATTAATAACAAAATAAAAAGAAGCAAAAGTAAATCAACCCAAAAGTTTTAGTCTCTTAAATAACTCTTAGATTAATAAGAAAATATCATCCAAAGCAATATTTTTATTTTTTAGAAAACAATAGTAAGTAGAAAAAACACCAAAACAATAAAAACCCTACACATAAGTATTTATAAAATATAACCATAGTGCTTAGAAGAAAATTCAAAAACGAAAACACAGAAGAATGAAAGAAAAAAACTTGTTAAAAATCCCATTTAAAAAATAGAAAAAGAATAAAGTAAATTGAAATAAAGCAGAAGAAAAAATTAATTGATATGAAAGCAGAGTTAGAATACAGAAAAAAAGAACTAATACATAAAGCATAGGCAGCAAAAGTTTTTTTGTTTGGTTGGGTTTTTTTTGTTTTGTTTTTTTTTGTCTTTTTTCATGACCGGTAACGGGATCGCAACCCTCGGTATCGCGCCCGTACTGCAACCGGCAACGGGATCGCCACCCTCGGTGTCGCGCCCGCACCGCGCTCAACCAGTGAGCGGACCGGTCTCTATATGGGATCTGAACCCTCGGCGGGAGCGCTACTGCACTCCCAAGCGCCACACTCTACCGAGTGCGCCACCGGCCGGCCCTGGTTGTTTGTTTTAAATCAGCAAAATAAACACACCATGGTCAATATAATGAAAACAGCAAGACAGCACAGGCATAGAAATAAGCAATGGCAAAGTGAAAATAATCATGAATACTGAGGATAGTTGGAAAAAAGATGACTTTGCCAATACATTTTAAAATACAGCTAAAATGAATAATTTTCTAGGAAAATACAATTTACCAAAACTGATCACAGAAGAGATATAATGTTTAAACAGATCAATTTCCATAGAGCAAACAGAGAATGCGGTCAACTTACCATCTCCTTCCCCCAAGAAAAAAGCTTTAAAACTTTAAAAAAGGTTACTAAAGCTGTAAAGATAGGCCATCCAAATTCTATTTTGACAGAGAATTAAGAAAAAGAAAATCTTCCAAACTGTTTTATAAAGTGATATTGCACTAAAGATATCTCACACACACAAAAAAAACTACACACCAATTTCCTGAATACTTATGTAAAAATGCTAAACATCTAATAAAACAGTACATTTAAAGACCCAGTGTCATTTATTACAAGAGTGTTAAAATGTTTCAAAATGGGGAAATCTATGAAGATAATTCAATATATTAACAGAGCTAAGAAGGAAAAGAAAAAACCACTCCATAGATGCTAAAAAGGCAACTACAAAGACAAAAACCATTCCTAATTTTTAAAAAAAACTCAATAAAACAAGAATAATTCCCTAAAATGATAAAATATATATTATCTTACCAAAAGACAGCTTGTCTACCATTACCATTACTATTTAACCATGTATTGGAGTTATTAGTCAATAGAACTGAATATCAGAAAAAAAATCAAAGGTAAAAGAATTAGAAAGAATGAGGTAAAAACTGTATTTCCAGACAATATGCTTGCATAATTTGAAAACTCAAGAGATTTAATAATATAAACAGTAACAACATTTAGTAAGGTAGCAGGATTTAATATAAAAATACAAAAACCAATAGCTGCTATATAAACATTTAACAGTAAAATCTAATGGGGGGAAAAAAGACCCCATTCGCAATAGTAACTAAAAGGGTAAATTTAAAATATGATGGTACTTCAAAAAGTTTGTGGAAAAATAGAATGAAAAGATAATACAGGGCCGGCCCGGTGGCGCACTGGAGAGTGCGCCGCTTGAGAGCGCGGCGGCGCTCCCGCCAAGGGTTCGGATCCCATGTGGAGACCAGTTCCCGCTCACTGGCTGAGTGCGGTGCGGGAGCAACACCGAGGGTTGCGATCCCGTTGCCGGTCCCCGGAACAGGCGCGACACCGAGGGTTGCGATCCCGTTACCGGTCAGTAAAAAAAAGACAAAAAAAAGGAAAAAAAAAAAAAGAAAAGATAATACAAATCTTTCTATGAACTTTTTGAAGTAAGCTTGCATATACATAACCTTTATGAGGAAAACTTTGAAACACTCACAAGCATTTGGCATTAGATTTTCTAAAGAAATCACACACCAAATCACCATGGGGAGATTATTCTGCACAAGGTGAGAGTGGCCTACCAAGGGTGTTCATGCTAAGAAGCTGTTCATCAAGGTGCACGTGTGAAGACAGTGGCAAAGAAACAGGATAAATGCTGTATTCAAGGTGGCCAAGTATACTGAATCCTGCGGACTGTCTCTATTAGACCAGATAACCACTACTATCCTTTGGCTCCAAAGGAGGCAACTGACAAGGGGCTACAATATGAGAGACAGGCCAGTGGCTGGTCATGTCTAGGGGACAGAGCCACACCACAGCCCAGCTGACAAAGTACTTCCACCTCACAAGAGGCAACTGTGTTTGTTCTAAACAAGTTTAGGCCCGTTTCACTCTTTTTCTGCAAGTATCTAATCTAATTAAATAATACACAAACTCATGAATAACTATGAGAAAACAACAGATTCCTTGAAAACTTTGAAAAAACTGGTCATAAATACACATTGTTAAAAACCACAGCTGTCGGGGCCGGCCCGGTGGCGCACTGCTACAGTGCGCCGCTTGGGAAGCGCAGTGGCGCTCCCGCCGAGGGTTCGGATCCCACGTACAGACCGGTTCCCGCTCACTGGCTGAGCGAGGTGCGGGAGCAACACCGAGGGTTGCGATCCCGTTGCCGGTCCCGGTCCGGTACGGGCGCGACACTGAGGGTTGCGATCCGTTGCCGGACACAAAAAAAGACAAAAAAAAATAAAATAAAAAAATAAAAAAATAAAAAAAAAACCACAGCTGTCAAAATTAAGTGTGAGAGAGACAATAAAACACAGCAATCAAGAAGTATGCTGCACTTATAAGGGTATTTGAAAAAGTTCATGGAAAAATAGTATTAAAAGATAATACAAATCTTTCCATGAACATTTTGAAGACCCCTCACATTGCAAATTTGGTTCTTGTTCTACTTTAAAAAAACTTAAAACCAGGAATAGTAGACTATGTATTATGTGTGTGGTTTAGATGAAAAATTAAATACAGTGAGGCACAACAGACAGGAAGGCTTGAACACATATCAAAAATATTGGCAAATAGACATACATCTTAATGTTCTGAGTTAAAAATCATACTTTCATGGTATGTACATGTAATATTCAACCCTTTCTATGAATTAATAGACCAATTACCAGTCCCAGTTCTGTTGAATCAAAGGATTTCTATTCTATTAAGCACTGCTGCAAGAGCACAGAAAAGCCCTTTCTTTGATCAGGTAAAAATAAACAAACATAAAAAAATCATAAACATGATTTCCCCTTTGCAAAGAACCAGCTTTAAGTGTAAAATGTCATATAAATCACCTGGCCTTACCCTATATGGGCATTGCTGTATCAACCACTTTGCTGTACTGATACAAGAAGATCTGGGATATAAAAGCCTTGGTTCCAAGGAAGTCTTATTTGCATTTTAACACAGGGGACAATATACAAAAATATGGAAATAAAACGACATCCAGCAAACGGTACTTCTGAGAATCAATTTTAATCACATCCTGAATAAGCCCATGCTGAATACTAATATTGAATAATCCTCACATTCTGTTGATGATTTTCTATCTTATTCCAGTGAGAAAACAGCAATAGAATATACTGTCTTCTCTCCACTAGCCTGACCTACCTACCTGCATGCATAACTGCAGTTTTCCTTTTTATTCCCTCTTGTTCACTGGATCCTACCCCCTCCCCCAAGTCCACTGCTCCCACAATTATGCCTTCTTTCTACTGCATCAAGTTCTTCCACCTACAGAATCATTCCCATGAGCACACAACCATGCCCTAGTATCTCATATCATAAAAGACACTCTGTATAAGCCATATCTCCACTGTAACTATCAACCCTATTTCCCAGCTTCCCTTCATACGTAATTCCTTCAAAGAGTTGTCTTATACTCCTTCTCAGCACTGCCTCACCTACCCTTCTCTCATTATGTTACTCCAATCAAGTTTTCATCCTGACTCCACTGAAATCATTCTTGACAAGGTCATGAGCATTCTCCAATTTGCTAGAACCTGAGGTCACTTCTCAGTTCTCATTCTCTACTCCCTCTATCTCTAAACATTTTCTTTTGTTTTTATTTGATCTCACTGGCAGTTCCTTCTCTATCTCCTTTGCTGTCCCTTCTTTCAAAAGTCTAAATGGTGGAGTGCCCATGAATCAATCCTCAGGCCTCTTCTGACCTGCTCTCCTCTATCTGCATGTCTTCCCTAGGTGATCACATCCAGACCCATGGATTTAAATTCCAACTGTAGAGACACCCACATGTTTATCAGGCTGTAATCTCTCCCTGAGCTCCAGGTGTACATATTCAACTGCCTACTCAACCTCTCAGATTGGATAAATAGAATAATTCAAACTTAAAATATCCAAAACAGAAACTTTTAATGTTGACCTTCCAACATGCTCTTCCAGTCTTCCCAGCCTCGGCAAGATAACACCCTTATCTCCTTTTATATCACTCTTTCCCATTTACTCCATTTATAATTCCATCAGCATGTTTTTTGACAGTACCTTCACACATATCATGAGTGTAACAGCTTCTTCTACTGCCCGCCATTGTCATTCTTATCCAAACCACCGTTATGTCTAGTCTGAACAACTGAAATCGACGCCATACTGGTCTTTCCTGCTTTTGCACTCAACCAGAGGGATCGTTTTAAAATACAAACAATCCACGGCTTCCAATTTCTCTGTTGATTACATTATCTTGTCCTTGCCTAACTCTGATCACACCTTGTTACCTTCCATTCTCTTCCCTCTTCCCCTTCCCTTGTTCTGGCCACAATGGTCTTCTTGTTATTCCTCAAACACCAAGGCTAGCTCTTCATTCAGACCTTTTCTATCTGCACAGAATGCCCTTCTCCCAGAAAATCACATGGCTTGAGTCTTTATTTCATGTCTCTCCTCAAATATCACCTCCTAAAAGAAGCCTCCCCTCATTTGTCCATTTTTCTTTATTCATGTTATATTCCAATAAAACTTACTTAATGGATAAACAGAAAAAGAAAAAAAATAATGAATGATCTTGTTTAAGATGTCTAACTTTGAACCAACAATTGTTATTTTGGCTAAATGCTTCCTGATTAAACTGATATTATCTTATTCACTCGGAACCTCTGCATTTCATTTTCTTTGAGTATTAACAATTGTAAGTGTAATTTAATTACCTAAATGTAAATAAGAAAATAGGTTAGGATTGAGGGGGAAATAAGCATGTTTTTCCTTCCTTTGGTAGAAAGTGAGTCAGAGATATAACATTATAAACAGTGTGGGCTTGAAATGTCCTTATAACTACAAAATAAGAACAATTAATCTAAAATAAGTCTCCTCAGCCAGGCCTGAATATACAGAGAACAAAATACAAAATTACAACGTATGTTTCTGTATAAAAAATTTTAAGGAATCTTTTTTAACAAGAGGTGTAAAAAGAGATGAAAATAGAGCAGTGGTGGAAGGTTAACCAAGGGAACATTCTCCCCTTTGTCCACTACATTCATGTTTCTTCTTAATGTGCAAGTAGATAGACACGTAGATGGAAAAGGCAGATAAGAATGATAGTCTGTGATCCGGGATCTATCTTCCAGACTAATTCATATGAAACTTTAGTTGCTGATAAAACATATAGTATTCTATTATCAAGCCTAGTCTTTTTTTGTAGTCTTTTATTTCCCATTTAAAAATGCATGAAAAAAGTTGAAAGAAAAAGGCTTCCCTGACTATAACTGAAATAGCCTTCCAATCCTACACCATTCTCTATCCCTCTACTCTGCTTACTTTTCTTCATAGCATACTTAATATACCATTTCCTATTTACAGTTACTATGTTTCTCTTATTATAAGGTAAATTCCATGGGGATGGGGACTTTATTGGTTTTACTTACCACTGTATTGATAGTGTCTATAATAGTTCCCAGCTCAGGAATTATCTACATATAAATGCAAAAGTGGAAAGCAACTAAATCAAAATATACAATGGCTGTCAATAGTGAACAAAAAGAGGACTTTCCCACTCCTGGCCCCTTCAAACGGGAAGGAAATTGGAGAGAAAAAAAAAAAAAGTAATGGGAAAAAGAAGTAGTGCTTTTACTATCCCCAGCTGAGATCTTAATTTCTCCCCAGGTCTCAGACCTTTCTTCCTTGGTCCACGGACCTTTAAAGAAGGTTTTCTAAACAATATCAGAAGGGTGTACCTCTTTCCCAATTAGTTGGGTGGTTTCCTATAGTAATGGCTTTCCCCTTCCTGACTGGCCCTCACTTACCTGAATATTGTCTTCGTCCTTTCCTCATAACTTTCCAGGGCTCTTTTCCTTGCTCCAATAAGGAAATCACATCTGGTTTAGAAATGAAGCATCCCGCTTAGAAAAAAAGAAATATAAGGTGATATGAAAATAAAAAATAAATTCAAAATTACTTTGATTCAGTCTTGATTAAATTTGCAATAAACTAAAGTCACAACAGTAATTGATAAAGCCTTTGAAACAAAGAAAGGAAAGATGGTTTCAAAACACTCACATTAAGGTTACACAATAAATAGAGATTAGAGAAGGAAGAAAAATGTCTTTCTAAAATTTATATTCATACAAGTGTTCCTTCTTCAGTGGCAAGAGTAGATAAGATCACAGACTTCCTTCAAATCCTGCCTCTGCCACATCCCAGGTGCGTCACCTTGGGCAAGTTACTTCTATGCTTTATTTTCCTCATCTGTAAAGTAGGGATAATAATAGTACCTATCTTATATGATTATTGTGAAGATTATATTAAAATACATCTATATCTAAACATTGCCTGGAGTATATATGCCAAGCACTACATACAGTGTATTTTATTAGTTATTGTTATTTTGCTGACAGGAAAACAAGAAGCTTCTTGAGACATTTACTGTTATTTCTTAGGATATTCAAACAACATTAAATGCAAAGTTTTGGGATTTTTAACTTTCAATCATAAAAGTTGTTTATTAACAGAGTGAATGAGTTCTCTTGAATTGTAAATAAACTCTGCCATCCATCTGACCACTACATAAAGTATATGTATTCTTTTTATGCTCAGGAAACAGGGTCCAGTTAATTTACTCATAGGTATACCAACAAATAATAAAACATCTAAAGCAATTCTGAATTCAAACAAAAAGTGAAACCTCCTTTTTCCACACTGTTAAGGCTGCAAGTTACCCAGATTTCCAATCCAGCCCCTTCATCATAAAGGAAGGCCTGAGGGCCTCTTAAGGATGGGAAAGATGAATATGCTTAATGGAGGTGCTCACTTCCACTCCTGTCAGAATAGGGAGCAGAAATTTACATAATTTCTTAAAAGATATTCTTGAAAGCTCCAGAGGAGAAAGCTAATGTTACAGAGAACAGAATCCAAATTACTAGAGGAAGATAACCTTACCCAGGGAGACCAAGTTGCTGTAGTTCTCCAACATCACATCTCTGTACAAGTGCCTCTGTTCCAAGTCCAGGTATTCCCATTCTTCCTGAGAGAAGACTATGGATACATCATTGAACATCATTGATCCCTGAAATGACAAACCGTATATTACAACTGAAAGAAAATTTGTTTTACGATGGTAGGAGAAGAGATGGAAGAGATATTGCAGGCAATGGACCATATAGCAAGCAAACAGGCTTGGTCTAGAAGCCTGTAACATAGTGAATTAGGAAATGAGTGTGCCTGAAGCAGAGTGCCTATGTGTTCCTGATCCTGTTGCTACAGAAAAAGCCTCTTACATACTATGGCATACCTTAATAATCCAAACATATCTGGGAAAGAAAAAAATAATCAATTTTCCAACTAAATGAAATACTGTATAGAAGCTTTCTTTCTGAAATCATCAAGATCAGAGCAGAACTTAATGAATTTGAAAACCAAAAAACAATACAAAAGA